AGCTGTTCACAGGCCTTGTGGGGGACTTGTGGGAGACTTGTGAGGAACTCTTTAAGGATTTTGAGAAGACTCATAAAGGACTTGCAGGTAAATGCAGTACTTCATTTATAGAGGCTGTTATTTGTTTGTTTTTCATAGTTAATTAATCATAGATGTCCTACATAAGAAGTGTGTCTCATATAAGAAAAGTTAGGCAGACCCATAGGTATCGGATACTTGTCCAAGCTTTTTTTTTTAGCATGAGTGAGTGTCACACTTCAATTTGAAACTCAGGAATATTAAGGTATCCTACTTGTATCTGAATAAATGGACTTATTGAGCTTCATTAATAATATGACAGTGAGCATCAGTAGTCAGATACTGAGAGTAATGTTTAATTTGAGTAACAGACACCAGTTAGAGAGGAACTTGCTAAAGTTATCTTCATCATTATCTTAGCTTAGATGTTGTTAGAAGACCTGGTATACACTGGCACAATCTAGTATAAACAAACTGGCAGATGCAAGTCCAATCAGTGTAGTCTGGCAAGTCCCTCCTGCCAAATTTGGCAGGCACAAGTCCAACTCTTATTCCCATGCCTCATTATATTCCCTCAAAGAAAAGGATTGTATCAACTTGTATGTTCCTCAGTTAGACTGGTTTAGACTGATCTGTTGTGCATCAGGAAAGTTGACACAGAATTTAGTTTAGCACCCATGCTAGGAGTGATAGGTGGTGGTATGTAGGGCTATGTAGTCTATATACTGACTCCTAGTGACTCCATACTTACCTATCCTACCTAGTGCTACCTAGCACTATGGGGAATTTAGCACACATGGCATGTTTTGCTGATGTGATCTGCTCTTCACCTCATTTGCTGAACCAATCCTATGAGCAGAGCTGGCTAAATGTCCCTGCACAGTCCAGTCTGTCACGAGGGTGTTCATTACTGGTAAGAATACGAATTGGTGATCAAAGGTGACTGGAATTAGGTACAACCCCTGCATTATGATTAGGACAACTTAACTTCATGCCATAACCCCAATAACAACGTTCAATTTAAATCAGTTTTGTTGTATTCCAAATACCTTTTGTTTTACTCACTACTGTGTTCTTAAGTGCAATATACGAGAGAAAATATTTGGACACCAATGTGGTAGGGTGAGTACAGTTGTCTCCTGAAATAAATGGCTTTAGGCATATGGCACTGGAAGCATTGAGGTATTTTCCTCAGATGAAAACATTAAGAGAACTGTGGAAATGCACCCCATTTTCACAGTATTTTTTCATAAACTGCAGGAAACTCTTAATAAAATTGGATTTTCTGTCACTGTTCAGGAAAACACTGAGAAAATGGGGCTGACCTCTACTGTTTTCCTCATGATTTCCTTGCAGGAAAATCCCTCATTGCTTCCAGTGCAGTGAAGTTTCAAGGAGTAAGTATATTCAAGTATGCTCTCATTTTAGTATAAGGTGACCGAGGACATGGTTGGAAGAATAACAAGCGATAAATAGATAATATATAGTGACCAATGATATTGTCTGTACATAATTATAGGCACATCAAAAATAGCAGTGGTTGGGTTGATCAACCAACAATAGCCCAGAATGTAGTCCCACCACAAAGATGCAAGATACTGCCAAGATAACGAGCTTATTGGAAACTAAGTGTTGAATGAATGAAGAACTACTTGTCATTAATTCATAGCACATTATGGACTCAATAGAACAACTTTATTCGTTCATCAGGAAATCTGCTAATGGTGCTTGATTTTTCCATAGCATCCCATGGTTTATACAGAGAGTAGCAACTGCTATGTTGCTTAAGAGCCACTAGCCTTTGCTAGGCTCACTATTCTTTGCTAGGTTCACTATTTTCCAAGGTAACAACTCCACTGATTTGAACAACATCAGCGCCAGTCTGACTTGTTGCAACTTAAACTCATACCACCTCAATCTACTGCACTGCTGCACTTGAAATTGGCACATCGGCATCCAAACCAACATAAGTTTCATATAAGTATCATGATAGGAACATTAAAAAGACCTATAGACTGTTAAACCTTACTTTGCAATGGTTCTCTTGAGTTTTGAAGGTCACCAGCATCATTGGGAAGGAGCCACTGGGCTGAAGTTGGTGAGTCCTTCTGCTGATTCACAGTGAACTATACCTAAAACTTGAGCTCTTAATCTTTAGTTGATTACAATGTTGACGTTATTGAGACCAGATGGTATGTTTCTCATACCCAGTGCTTATAGATCTTCTCTGACCATTGCACCTAGGTTACAGAACTATAGTGTTTGATGACTCAATGTAATATGGCCAATAGTTCTATAGGTGTGTAGGTTGTTTTTCCATCTTAATATCTAAGCATGTCTAAGCATGTCAGCTAGTATTGATATAGGAAAGATGCAATGCCAGTGTGACAAAGGTGACCCGAGGCCAGTCTGCATTGTCCCTCCACTTCATAGCCAGTCTCTTACACTATGTTAGTCTTCTATTGCATATCTTGTTTCTATTACTGAAACATATCCTGGCATTCTCAGTGTGTTGTGGTGAGTATAACTGAGTTTCTTAGAGTGCTCATTTTATAAATTGTAGTGTAGCTAGTCTCTTTGAATAGTTATAATGTACATAGGTGGTTTGAATATATTATGGATTATTTTATTTTATTTTATTCTGTTTTGTTTTGTTTCGAAAAAAAATTGAAAAATGATACTACTGTCTACTATTGAGACTATGAGCCGCTAGAACCGCTATCATAGTTATCCATAGTTCCCCTGCAGCTAGCATACTGAAACATCAGGCAATTACCTATGGTAGCTATGAAGAGTATCATAGTGTACATAAAGTATCATGGCTATGGAGGCTATAGACGCTATAATTGCAATTATAGCGTTTGACAGCTTTCGTGATGTTGGACGACCTGAATGAGAGTGCGACATTGCCGTGGTTCCTGTGTCAAGCTTGAAGCTATGCTTCGTTTATTTAGTATTATTCCAAAAATCAATTCGTTTACTCATTACCAGAAACTGTATGTAATCTGTGAGGAAATAGTTAGTGAATGTAATCAAGTGCTGAACGTTAAACCTTGGTAAACATTGTCTGCTTTATTTTGAGTGTGTACTATGCTGACCTTTGTCGGAAACGGCTTGCAGGTGCAGTACTCTCAAATGACCTAGCTTTTGATAATTTATGAAACCATATCATTACCCGAGGAATATTCAGTAGCAGCCCTAGTTCGCAGCTAAACTCGGGGATTTTCCATTGGGACTCACGTTCGTCCTCTCTCGAACCTGAAATGCGTAAGGTGATGTCTTGGTTCCTAATTCTATTGGTAATATTTCGTGCTTATTCACCGTATAAGAGTCATACGAATGGAACCATCCCGGTTACTAGGGCATTTTGATGTGCGAAGAGCTTTATACGCTCTGACGAGTTTATTTGGTTGAAAAAATCAAAGAGAACTCGTATGACTGAGGTTACACTGTTGTGTAAGCATTCATTCAAACGCTACGTGACATGACCCCTAGTCGAGTAAACTATGTCACAAAACTATCGAGCTCGGGCATCTCAGGGACTGGGCGATATGAGCTGAGTAGGGGCTGATGTGTTAGGAACCCCATCAGATCGTGTTCAATGGCAGAAAGCTAACAGGACATGAGTTAGTAATTCTGAAGAAAGAGGTGAGCACGTCTTCCTATAACTAATACACAGGAAAGTGTAGAGATTTTCGTCTTCATCCAGTATCATCATCTGTCCGTCCTCTAAGCCTATCTAAATCAATATGAGGACAGCAACCTCCGACCAGAAAGAGGTGGGACTACGCACGATGGTGTGTTTGTTTAAACAATATCTTGTTATTATCTGACAAACGTCGCTTCACAGAGACGACCATCCTCTAGTACGCGCTCACCCCCGAACATCTCGAAACTACGAAGGCCCGTCACGCTCCTTGGACCGCTTCTTCCATAAACCAAGATCCCGCATGGAGCAGCGCATTCGAAATTCCCCTCAGCCTTAATGAAGTATTCACGCTTACGGGATCTCTCATAAAGTCATGCCCCTTCACCAACCCCAAGCTCCCTACCCAGCCATTCCCTACCCTCTCTATTTCATCCGCAACACTTGACAAACAGTCCACCCTGAAATCCACCGCTACTGGTACTACTTCTGCCCCGTTGTTTGTTTCGTTTTTCACCAGACTCAGTCAACAACTTGTCCCGGTTAAGAATGGAAAGGTTACCATCCCTACTGGTCTGACAAGAACCGTGCATGCCGTTATCACCAGCAGCAACACCGGTGTGGACGATTCCAGCATCGTTGCTGACCCCAGGGCCTTGAACTTCCCATTATTCGCTTACATGTTGACGAGTTTAATCGTTTTCTTTTTAATCGATCGTTGTCATTCTTTCATATCCTTGCTTAAGGTTATTTTCCTTCAGAAATGAGCTCCTGTCTTAGAATAACGTCGAGTACAATTAATATTGCAGTCCTATTTATTGTTCTTAAGCAGAATATATTCTTGTTAAGATACTTAGTCAATAATCAAGGAACGCACTTTAATAATATATTTACTCCATTACTGTAACTATCAATAAGGCACTGAACGAAAATCGGAGTATTGCATTTGATTCAGTGGCATTTATTTGGCCAAGACATGCCTGCAATATACGATGGTGAACCACATAGCTCCAGAAATTTTACACAAGCCTGTGTATCACGGTGCCTCCTTTACATCGAAGTTTCTTGCCAACCAAGATAATGCTATCCAGCTCAGGCCGATGGAATTATCGAGTGGTTATTTTAACATTGTAAATATGATTCAGCAGTTACGTGTCAATGGAAAATAGGGAGGTAGGCAGTCTCATAATTCTGCCGGAAGAAAAGAAAATATTGAATTGTTAAAGGCGAATAAAGATGTATGGCGTACTGCTAGTGATATTTAGAGTAGTGTATCAAAATATAGATGGTTTTACTAGCAACCGAGACCCCATGTAATTTGAAGTATTCACTTAGCAGCAGCTTGGCGCAGTGGAAGCGTGCAGGGCCCATAACCCTGATGTCCAGGATCGAAATCTGGAGTTGTAATTTTCACCAATTTTATTTTACTGAAATTTGTTTGGCTACGTCACCCAGGTGTATGCTACAGCACCGGGTTGCCTCTATCATTTCAGTTTATGCTTTCTTTGCCGTTGAATTCCTACACAACTTAGCCTCGAGGCAATTATTTGAATGCGACATTATAAACGTTTCTTCAATCGTCCACGGTACATTGGACTAAACCAGTTCAAGCCACCAACAAGAAGGCAAGAAAGGGTTATTTGTTTGAACAGTTACAAAGATCTGAAGAAAGAATACGTAGTAAACAAGATAAAGACAGGAATGCTTAACCCCAAAGACCGGGTGTGGATGCCTGATATCGTGCTCCCTTCACCTGGATTGTATCCAAGATCCCATTAATTTCAGCTTTTTCGTCTTCTGTAAGGATTATGTCGGCAGCCTGAAGATTCTCGATTGTACGGCTCGCTTTGCTGGATTTTCGGTCAGATATCATATTTGAATGTAAATTATGACACCAAACGTACGATGACCCTGGAATAGGTAACATATGGGGTCCCAGTGACCGTACCCAAGCGAGAGCAAGCTGACCAGGGCTGACGCCCTTCTTAGCCGCGATCGTTTTCAGGGCGTCGACCAGTGTGAGGTTATGCGGGAAATTCTGTGAATATGTGAGAATAGATGGTGTGGATTAAAGGTGGCTTATTTACTTCTGCATCAGTGATGGTGGAAAATGTCGTCCAGGCACGTCCAGCCGTCCAGACTGGTCCTGGGCTGTCTGGTGCTGTCTAGGCAGTCCAAATTTACTATGAGGTCGTCCCGGATCACTCCAGACGAAACGCCCATTACTGATGTGGTTTGAATCGTTCAGATTGATGACGCATGTCACCCTCAAGGATATCTTCAAGCTTGGTAATTTGGCCAGTGAGGAAACCACGACCGAGAGGACTGTAAGCTGCGACAGGGATATTCAATTCCTTAGCAGTGGCAATTACTATTTGGATTATGCTTCAGTTCCAGAACTTGAAGGGTATATGATTAGATTCGCGTACCTTTCCGGGTTTCTTCTTCATAAGAGAATGGAGAAACTTCAATCTCGACGGCAGCAACAGGGACAACGGCATTGGCGCGACGGAGCGTTTCCGCACTGCACTCACTGAGGCCGACGTGACTAAATTTACCTTCTTCGATAAGCGTCTTCATGTTGTTCATTGCTTCCTCGATCGACCTGTTAGGATCTACGCGTGCGGCTTCGAAAATATCGACGTGCTTTGTTCCTTCAAGCTTAGCATTGATATTGTCGATCGATTTGCGGAGGAATTCGAGGCTTATTTTTTTTGAGAGATGAGGTTTAGCTAGACGATAATCATATAAATACCTTGAAATTGCATGGCCATTTGCAAGATCGACCCCTCCCTGCCCAAATTCAGAATTCGTCGTCAATATGTACTTAAAGGAAGATATACCTTCACTGACAAAACCGTCTTGTCAGCATACTCGGGGTATTTCTTGTAAAAGCGTGCAAGCAATTCAAGATTTGTCGTTGAAAAGTTCTCGCCGTAGAATTCGCCTGTTTGGGTTGATTTAGCAATAAATCGCTTGCGAGAGTTTGGATAACGTACCGCTGTTTAAGAGGACTTTTGCCCCTCCTGCAGCATCAACGCCTTTGATAATGGCTTCAAACGCTTGCTCATCGGATACCGGCGTGGGTGTCCATCTTGATTATCTGATAAGCACACGAAATATCGAGAAAAGCTAATCTTCCAACGTACGTCATAAGCATAAGGCCATGCCCTATCGCTGCAACTTCGATGTCAGTTCCACCAAGGCGTACTGTTTGCACCATTGTCGATATTGTAGAGTTGGAAGTCAGTGAGTAGTAGTATAAGTGACGTGAGAACTGAAATCTTCCTTTAAATACGTGCTGCAGCCCGGCAATTGACGCCGATCTCAAGCTGGGTAATGACGCGAGTATCATAATTCCCACGATGTAAATCCGTCATTCCTTTAATCTGCCGTAGGGACACACAAGCTAAAATGTACATATAACTAGATTGCTTTACTAACACGAGTTCACACAACGCAACAGACATGGTGCAAGGTTCATTGCCTCTTGGAGTGATCTCCAAGAATGGCCCGAAGGCTGACTTGAAGACTGATATCTGATATACCACTGCAACCTGGTTTCGCAATATCTTCAAAGCAGGTCTGCGCATTGTCAATTGGCCTGTCAGTTCGCCATTCCCCACTAAGTTGTGGGATCCAGGGATTCCGAGTGCACAATCATGGAAGCCTCATCAGTTTGCATGTGTAATGAAGCAATCCTGTGTGCAGGACAGGTCTAAGAGGCTGGGCTTCATTTGTCAATGTCATGGTAAGCATTTCAACACTATTGGTAGTGACAGTACTGATGCTGCTACAGATACCAAGGGGATGCTGTTCATTACCTTTGCCCCCAATGATGACAGCAACCCCCCCCCAACTTCGCATATGACTTCCCCAACGATACATATCCCAACACTCCATTGTACAGTGAGGAGAATTGTCCATGTTCGAATGATCAGGGTTGCAACATTGGCAGCACAAGGTTCCTCAAGCAGGTTGTTGAGAAGGAAGTGTTGAAGCGCAGCGAGAAATCTGCACAACCAAAGGCTCGCAATACCAAAGAGCCTGTGCCAACACAATTGCCCATGGATGTCAAGGTCAAGGATGATGGTCGGTATCACACCCCACCTCCTAGTGTCGAGCCTGTCAGGACTAAAGGGAAGGGATTGTCAAAGGCACAACACATTGAGGCCGAGCCCATTACGAGACGTCCGAGGGCTACAGCTTCAACATCGACAGGTGCCCAACGACCATCAACCCGGAATGCGCGACTGTCATCGTGCAATACATCGGCAGTGCCACAACTGCAGCACAACACAACAGCTCCTGATGCCATACCCAACACACGAAACACAACTGCTCCTGCTGCCACACTACGGCAGCCACTGCGCCCCTCGCACCTGTTCGACCCTCAAGGGCTGTCTTTCCTGCATTAGCACTTATTCCGGAGGAAAGTACCGAAGGTTGTCCTCGAGTGTCTCCTGCTCCAGTGGTTGAAGGTGCTGTGAAGAAGACCTGCTCCCGAACACAGGCGGCGGCCGCAGCTGCAGCAACCACCTCTGGTCAGGCAACCTCGCACAACAGAAGGATATCCCATCTGGCGCAGAAAAGCAGGATTGTGCAGCAGCGAAGAAACAACGGAAGGATTCAAATAACAACACGTTGCCATCCTTCCCAAACATCGTTGTGCAGCCTGCAACAATGCAACCACACAAAAGGCTCCCTTCCCCTCCTCTCCCTGCTGCTCCTCCTCAACCCCCAACCCACACTGGAGCCCTTCAGGGATTCATTGTACCTGGAGCCAATAGAGGTGCAGCAATATTGCAGGCCCCTGGGATTGGATTGCCGTCCCTGGCTCCATTGTCCGTGCCCTGCCCACAGGATCCTCAAGCTTTGGAGGCTCCCCAACACCTACCCTCCGCCATTAATGTGGTGAGGCAACATAGTGAGCCGCTTATGCATGAAGAACAACATGTTCCTTCTCCACAGCCTGAACCTTCAACCAGTGTGAGGCTGCCGATAGAGCACATAGTCAGCGAACCAATGGGGAAGAAAGTGGAGCTGCAGCCGGGTTGGTCAGTGCCAATGGACTCACTGACATGGTGCAACAAAGCAGGTCTGGAGCTTGCCAATGCTCTTGCCCGCCTCCCAGCCTCAACCCCAGATTACAAGAAGAAGGTCCATGATTTTACTAGCATGGTCATAACAAGGTTCATCGAACACTACAAATGAAACACGTTGTGGCTTTTATTTCAGGATGTCATTGATTTCGCTGTAGTGGTCACAAAGACAGCAAACAACGTCAACACAATGGATGTGTACCAGGGAGCCTACCTTTGGTTCCATTGTGTTGTGGAGATGGTGAGCCAAGTAAATGAGTTTCCGGGCATGGCTCCTACCTCTGTTGAGCATGTCAATTCCTTCACCAACTGGTTTGTTGGTTTCCTGTAGGAAAATACCCTCAACAACTCAAGGTCAATTCTTTTAGATCTACTTCTGGATGTCGAAGACAACACTCCAGACAACGTTGACAATGGGGACATGCTCAGTTCCAACGCCAATTTGTATGCAGAACTGCGTGGGATTATGTAGTAATAGTTGCAATTCTATCTTGTCTTTATTTCATTGCTGATTTAACTCATGTTTGTTGTTTTCCTTGTATGGTTCCTGGTGTTGGTTGGCACACTTCTATGTCACATTGTGCACTTCGTTGTAGTTACATCTGTATATTATTGTTGGCGTTATTAAAGAATATTGTGCTTATTATCCATTGCATGGACGACTGAGAACTGCCCATTCCTCATTCCGATGCACTCGTGTATTTTGGGAAATGTTTGAGCTGACAAAGCATTGTTAAAGGTCACATGATAGACGCATAACTTGTCTTATTCTCTGATCCGTCTTCCAGCTGGGCCGTCAACATATCTCCCACTTCGTACAGCTCACCTACTTAAGGTTTTTTTCGCTCAATGTCTATTGCTATTCTGAAGTCCCTCACTTCCAGTATCCTCCACGCAACAGACCAAATGATTGGGAACTGATTCGAGCAGATTTTGGTATGTGGTTTGGTTGATGTGGACCTTGCTGTGTTTGACTTACTGCAATTCTTTCTAGAGTAATACCCTTTACTTGGCTATCATCAAGAGCACAATGGAGATTGCAATTGCGATTTTTATCACATTTGTTATGGGTTGAAGTGGTAGGTTAATACAGGTGCATATGTTGTGCTCAGGCAAGGCTTTGACATCTTACACAATTAGACTGACATTTTGTTGCCAGGTGCAATTAAGTTTGGTTTAGTTTATCATTCTCTTTGCAACAATGAGACTAATATATATTTTATAAGGAAAACAACGACATAAAGTATATGCTATGCCAACGTCCAAATAACTAAGAGTTAACTATTGACATTTATTTTGTTTCTA